AAGTGGGAAGGTACAAGATCAACATACTAAAATTAGTTCAATTCCTCTACATTAAGGAAACACTGAGAAGGAAATCAGAAAAACAATAGTATTTACAATAACCACCCAAATGGCAAAGCACTTAAGAATAAATCTAACCAGAGACACAAAAGACCTATACAAAAAAAACCTGCAAAAACCAAAAAGAAACCAAAAGAGACCTATGTAATTGGAAGACTATACCACATTCACGGATAGGAAGCCTTAACATTGTGAAGATGTCAATACTTCTCAAAGCAATCTACAGATACAATTCAATCCCAATCCAGATTCCTTCATCAGTCTTTGAAGAGATGGAAAAACTAATCACCAACGTTATATGGCAACGAGAGAGACCCTGGATAACCAAAGCATTACTAAAAAAGCACAGAGTAGGAAGCTCATGCTCTCCAATCTCAAAACCTACTGTACAGCCACAATAGTTAAAATAGCCTGGTATTGGTACAATGACAGACACATAGATGAATGGAACAGAATTAGGGACCCAGAAGTAAATCCTCCTTGTGCACAGCTGATCCTTTGATAAAAAGTCAAAACATTTTAAATGAGGAAGAGATAGTTTCTTTAACAAATGATGCTGATACTAGATATCCATTTGCAGAAACATGAAACAGGATCCATACCTCTCATCATATACAAAAAAAAAAAAAAAAGATAATCAAAGAAAACAATAGGGGTAAACTTAGGGGTCTTAATACATGGCATAAATATACCATCAAACATAACAAAAAGCTCACAAATAGCAGAAGACAAACTAGACAACTGGAACCTCCTAAAAATTAAACACTTATGTGCATCGAAATACTTCGCCAAAAGAGTAAAAAGAGCATCTGCAGACTGGGAAAATATTTTTGGCAATAATATACTAGACAAGGGATTAATCTCTAAAATTTATAGAAAACTTCAACACCTCAACAACAAAAAGGCAAACAATCCAATTCAAAAATTGGAGACACAAACAGACACTTCACCAAAGAAGACATTCAGGTGGCTAACAAACACATGAAGAAATGCTTGCAATCATTAGACATTCCAAAAAAACCAAACTCACTGCCATCAGGTCGATTCTGACTCATAGTGACCCCTGCTGGTTTCCAAAGCTGTACATCTTTATGGAAGCAGACTGCCCCACCTTTCTTCTACAGAGCAGCTGATAGGTTTGAACTACTTATCTTTTGGTTAACAGCCAAATGCCTTAAACACCACATCACCAGAGCTCCTTTCATTAGTCACTAGAGAGATGAAAATCAAAGCAACAATGAGACAGCATCCCACCCCAGCATTAATAGCAAAGGTAAAAAAAATCAGAAAACAACAAATGCTGGCAAGGGTGTGGGAGACTGGAACTCTCATACAATGCTGGTGGAACTATACAATGGTACAACCATTGTGGAAAATGGTATAGTGCTTCCTTAAAAAGTTAGAAATAGAAATACCACATGATCCAAGATATCACTATTATTTATATATCCTAGAGTAATAATGTAATAATGTAATGAAGGAAGAAGTCAAAGCTGCAATGAAAGAACTGGCGAAGAACAAGGCTCCGGGAATTGATGGCATACCGATTGAGATATTTCAACAA